TCTAGAGTCGCCAACATTTAAATGTTTTATGACCCAGAAGAGTTACGCTTGAAGGGTTCTGTCTGAAGATCTTCAAATATGGCAAGAACAAGTTTTTTCCCCCCCCATATTTGCATATTTGCTTCTCCTTAAAGGAATTTGATACTTTACAAATTTAGCAAATCTGCTTAAAATAATCTATGATTAGTTAACTTTAAGTAGTTATCAATGTGTTAAACTTGAGATACAGTTTTATCTACATCATGGGTTATTTGTCTACATGCAGGTCTGCCCCCCATTTTAAAAATACTGGTACAAAATTATTTCTTGAATAGCGCCATGTGGCCCAAACGTTTTCAAATTTCATTTGAGATTGGTGGATCAAGTCCATTTCACAACTTTTATCCCAGAAGCTGAAGAGCCTGAAGAAGCTGAGACACCCAGAGAGGAACTAGAAAAAAAAACTGCAAACTACTAGTCACATTGAGTTGGTATATACAATTTTTGTATTTTTATATTTTTTATGTATCTTTTGGGGGGGGGGAGGTATTGCATGCTTTGTTATTTATGGCAAGTCTTGTGTGAGTTTCTCACAAAGTTTTAGTTTTACTTTTCCTTCCTATCGTTCAGTTTGTCATTCAAAGTGAGGAGCCACCGGACATCCCAAAACCCAGCACTGCTTATTAATATAACATTGATTTATTTACTAAATTATGAAACTGAATATTTATGTAAATTGCTCCATTTTAGTGAAGTTTATGAAAGCTAGGTGGTTTACTGTGGAATGTCTTTACAGATTAGTATAGTTTATAGTGGGCTGTATACGATTGCAATAGCCATGTTGCACAATATTTCTATGCGTCAGAAATTTGAAGCCTAATTGGATTCAAATTTAGAAGATTATTGCTACAAGGTCTGTACTTCTTTCACACAGGTACAGTACATTCCTCATGCCAGCACACAGAGCTACAGGAGTACAAAACACACAAGCTAGAGAAAATAATACATTTCTCTAATAGGAGCCAATAGATCACGATATATCCTACCTCCCTGTGGTGGAGTCTTTAATGCTGGAGTCAGTAGGTTATCGCTGTGGGCGCTGCACCTCCTTCCCTTATGTGCCAGCTTTATCAAGTACAAGCAATTCTTCTTGTGATGTGGTCGTGGATGCAGAAGATGGGCCCTAATGACCACACTTCATCACCAGCCTCAGAGAGGATGCAGGGAGAAACTTGCAGCTTCTGATGTCAGATAAAGATGTGAGCAATGTGATGTTATTGGACCAATAGGCATAATTTGGTTCAAGCCCAGCTTGAGCCACACCTGAAGTAGTTTGGGGTTATCATTGGATTAGAAACAGCCGAAACACTACAAGCAGGAACTACCATAAAAGCTGCGGGGGCCAGTCAGTAAAACAGGAAGAGAGAAAGAAAACAGGGAGAAAGAAGCAAGAGAAAGAAAGAAAGAACCTGCTTATTACTATATTTTTATTTCTGTAGTTCACAGAAATAAAACAGAAAGCAATAAAGAGGCTTCCTGTGCACTGCGTCGTAAAATTCGAACTTTTTTTGCATTTTGTCACATAACTACCTCCAACCTCTGTATATTTTATTGGTTATTATATGTTACAGACTGACACTAAATAAGCATAACGAAATCAAAGAATAATTGTAGATTATTTTGCCTTTTCTTGTTACAAATGAAAACCTGAAAAAGGGCACTGAGCATGTTGTAACTGTCCCTTTTACCTTGAGGCCCCTAAATGACATACAGTACAACTAAATGCACTTAGAAGCCACACGATAACTAAACACAATTCACCAGTGTGTGATCTAACCCCAGTAAAATCTGCTCTCTGAAGTCTCTTAGGGAACGCCAAGGAACAATTATGAAGACCAGTGAACACAACCGACAGGTCAGGCAGAAAGTTGTTGAACATAATTGGACAATTGTAGCTTGGTGCAAATGATAAACCAGCCAAGACATGTCTGTCCACCTAAACTGGAAAGTCAGGCAAGGAGACAAGCAGCTAAGATGTCCATAGCAACCTTAGAGGAGCTGCAGAGATAAGCAGCTCAGGTGGGAGAGTCTATTGACAGGTCAAATACTATTCATGCACTATACAACCAGACCTTTATAGAAGAGTGGAGTGGTGGCATAAAGCCACATAAAGTCCCAATGGGAATTTGCCAAAAAACCCTCATATTAGAGCCACTTTGGTGTTCTGGCAAGATGAGACCACAGTAAAACTTTTTGACCTACATGAAAATGTTATCTGTTGTACAATACCTTACACTGTACTTCACTCTGAGCACACTATCCCCATGGTGAAGCGTAGTGGTGGTAGTGTCATGTGTGGAAATGGATTTGTGTTTGCAGGGAAAGGGAAGCTGGTCAGACTTCATAGGAACTCCAATGCTTTTCAATGCAGGACAATCAAAGAAGAAACCATGTTAGAAACTGCGCTCTAAACTTGCTGAAAAAGGTACATTAAAATAGTTTAGATGAAAGCATGGATTGAAATGGCCTAGTCAAAGCTTAAGTCTAAATTAAATTTTATGGCAAGGCTTCAAGCATATTTTCACAGATGCTCTTCCTTTGAATTTGAGCCAGCTTGCATAAAGAATAAGCAAACATTTTGATCTCTAGATGTGCTAATCTGGTAGAAACCTGCCCCAAACGACTTGCAGCTGTAAATGTTTTCCTCATGGGGGGGAGTAAATACAAACACACGCCACACTTTTCAGATCATAATTTGCTTAAAAGTTTGAAAAAAACATGTTTTCTTTCTCCTCCACACCACAGTTATGCACTTCTTAACTGCATAAAGTCCCAGTTAGATAGTAAAAGAAAAGAGTCGCGGTTACAAACATACATAAAACCAAATGGATCTAAACTGGATTCTTTTCCAGTGTGAGTTGATGTCAAATCTGCTGTTTGTCAGTTTTGTACCAATGAGCAAAGGGACAAAACAACACACCATCATCATGTGCATGTCTCTGTAGCTCTAAAGGGGGAGGGGGGGGCTCACCAACAACCAAATATATACATCTGGATGTCAAGTACTGCACTGAGGCCTGTCCCTGTTCATGATTACCCGCTTGACATCTTTATAGTTTCATGGCAGAGTTCCTCTCCAGCAGAAGTGGGCACAGAAAAAGCAAGTGTGCCAAAGTGGCTCCACAGTGCCGGTATGGGACACCAGAGTTTTGTGTTGAAATAATTAGCCTGCTTAGCTGCCATCTGGGCTCTAGTAGCTGCTGTGTGGCATGAGCCAGGTGCTTCGTGGGTAATACTACAGAGAGACATGCAGCAGATGCTCGTGTGTGGATCTGCCCAGCTTGGCAAAGATCTGGATTCAACTAATCCCTGCTACACTTTGTGGAAAAACCCACTAGAGGGAATACAGAGGAGGGTGCTTTGAGCACAGTGTCATGAAGCATGCCTCTTTAAAGAGTTAAAAGCAAAAACAATAACGTGTCAAAATGAAAAGTAAACTTTTTTAAAGTCAGCAACAGACTATGAACCTGCATTCTCGCCAGGACTGAATCCGAGATCCATCCATCTCACCTGACATAAAACCTGAGCCAAACGATCAGTGTGCTTATCTGTGAAACGCAGGGGCTGCTTAATTGCTGGCCCTTCCCCTTTGCAGTTCAAAATCTAAAGAGGTATAAACATTTTTTGAGCAGTTCAGTAGGCCAGTAACTTGATAAGGCCCCTGGATTTACTCGATGAGCTTAGAAAGTTCCTGAGCAAGCAGCAGGCATGTGGTTGTTGTTCCCAGAGGGCTGGGAAACCGTATCTGCCCTGAAGGAGCATCCTCTTTGGTAAGCACTTCTTATCCAGGCCATCACTGCAGGCCGATAGCAGGAGGGTAATATCCAGTAACTGCAGCTTTATGTGCGATCCAATACTTGGATCAATCTCTAGGACAAGGAGGATTGCCATTAACCCCTGAGATTTCTCTCACTTTATTGTAGAGCTTTTCTTTCCTAGATACTGAAGGAGAAACAAGGAAATCATAATCAAGACAGACAAAACTGTGTACTTTAAAATTATGAATAAGAGAGAGGTTTTTATTTTTACCAAAAGAAAAAGAAGAAAGATAGGTTATGGCAAATTAGCAAGGTAAAGCGGTTGATTATATGTAAAAATTAACACACTGTAGCGTGTTCTCCTGCGAGTGCGAGCAAGACTATGTTCTTCTTGCACCAGGAGGTGAAATGACACACAGATTCATCTGTCTGTGTCTACTCATCTTTGTTTGCATTCAGGCATGTGTTTGAGAGCGTGTACGTGTCGAGAAAGCCAGAGAGTTCTCAGCAGTGAAGGCATGAACAGAAAAGAGACGGTGACTTCCTTTCAAACTCTGGATACTTTTGGGAGTGTTGTCCAACAAGCTCTTCCATGTGACTGAGAGAAAGAAGCACCAGACTGAAGCCAAGACTCGCTGAATATAAATGAATCATCTCTGAAATCAGTAATTCGTTTATAGAGGGATGAAATGAATGAAAGAGCGATGCAAAATTGTCAAATTAGCACTAAAATTGACAAATTTACAATCTGGGCAGCTGAAAATAAAATATATATATTTTTTTCAGATCTCAAGTTAATTCAAAACTGACTCAAGATGTTTGTGCAATAAACCAAAACAATTTCTCTTGGTAGAATGAATTGCAGAGTAAATTTCCATTCTACTACTCTCTTATGAAAAAATAATTTGGAACAAAATAGGCACAATTCTAGTTTATATATATATGTTTTTTTATTTGTTTTGTTGTGTCACACACTATCTCCACATATATGTAGGAAATCAGTAACTCATTCGTCTTAAGAGTTTTACATGGTGGTAGAAAATATAACTATTTTTTAATTAGTAAGCAAAACAGATAGAGCGACAGAAACAATTGTCCAAAACACAAAATTCCAAGTATTTTTGAGAAGCTGAAAACTGCACAGTGGTTTTCTAAAATCTAAGCAACTCAGGTCTGCCTAAAAGTGTGACAAGTCTCACTTACCTCGACTGTTTCCTTTCACAGGCAGGTCAGGACCCTGAAGCTCGATCGCAGCAGCAGAACAAGAGGGCTGAGCGCATCCCCTCTTCCCCATAGCAAATGTCAGAGGCCACCGGGCAGTCGGCTGCTCCCGCCTGCATCGCGGTCCACCCAGCGCTGGTGCAGGAGAGCCGCCGGTCTGGCAGGTGGCCGGTCAGCCCGACAGGACCGGTCAGCTGGCCTCAGCAGAGACGAGACAGACGGGCACACGGGGAGACGAGCTGAGCCGGACTGGGCTCTGCTGGAAGGCTTTTTCGCCTCTCCTTCTCTGAATGAAAGCAATCCCTAAGAGTGAATGGGTAATGAGAGACTGGCTCCTGAGATTTTAGCTTTCTTAATCATGTTCATAATTAATTCAAGAACATTGATAATTTCATTACATTCTTTTTGTCTTATCAATAAATGATGTGCCTGCACTTTTGGTCTTGTGTATACGGGGAGAGAGGGAGGAAGAGAGGGAGTGAGGGACAAGAGGAGTAATACTGCACTAAAAGCACAGGAGATGGAAAATGATACAAACAGGGATGTGGTAATTATAATCTTTGACCAAGCCACTGGAAGCACAATATGAAGTCAAGTGGGTACAAATAATTAATAAGGCCTCCTGGAGTGTGTGAGTGTGTACGTGTGAGCGACTGTGGCGGGGGGGGGGGGGGGGGGGGGGGGTCTGGTGACAAAAGTCTCCGTTGAACAATATTTCACCGACCCTGAGAGTGGATATTTTTACAAAAAAAAATAAAAAAAAAAAAATAAAGAAAACATACTTTAAATGCATGTTCACATAAGTCTCTAATAGACCAAGCAGTTATATACTTGCCTTTAAACCTCACCTTTAAACAGGGGTAGATGCTGGAGGATGGCTGTCTCATGCTGCCCTTCAGATCCAATAAGAGCTCAGGTTTCAGTGCATTAGTGCATCGATGCAGTTTTCAAAAAGACCACTCTCCTCCCACCCTTCTCCCCTCTTCCAGTGCTCCCTGTTAGGTCACAAGAAGAAGAAGAACAAAAAGAAGAAGAAGAAGAAACCAGATCAATTTTCTGTCTAGCATATATAAGTTTCCATTTATCTAGCAGCAAGAATAATGAGATAATATGCATTTTTAATAGTTCATCCTCAGAATATTAAATAACCCTTCACCTCTGTGCGTGCGTGCTTTATCAGTTGAACTTTCTGTTTAAAGCTGATCTGAAAATAGAACACGAAGGAGGAGGAGAAGGTGGAGGGGAGGGGGGGAGGCGATGTAATGGATATCCCTGTTTCCTAAAAATGGCTGTGACGATGATTGAGAGTGAGGAAGATTCTGACTCGCAGTCTTCTCATTTGCCCTGATATGCGACACGCAGATGGATGGCTACGAGCGGCGTAATCTGACAGTGAGAGATTGGCAATCCTGCCGAAGGTCTAATCCCACACCTAAATACTGTCGGAGAATTTGTTGATGCATCGGGATCAATCTGAGACAACGTGCAAATTTACAACAGCACTGAAGCTCTGCTGTGAGCTCAGGGAAGTTTTCCGTCTTAAGTCATCAATATCCGAAAAGCTCTCTGTAGGTATTTCTTTTTCACTTAATGTGTGACAAAATTACAGAGTTAAAGATTTTTTTTTTTGCACAAAATTGGGGTCATTTGACAAAAAAAAAAAAAAAAAGCAGGGCTTCGGCATAACTGGTAAGGCTGTGCAATTTGTCTTTTTCTAATGGATTTCCAGCTTGTGACACACTACAATATAGATTCGTAAAGCTATATGAGGCATTAGAGATTCAAGTACTTTATGTCCTATTTATTCCTTATGTGCCACAGGCCCCCCGTCTTGAGATATGACCAGCTCGAGAAACCTTTAATAAAATAAAAAAGTAAAAAAGGGGAAAATAGAGATTTACAACAGGCCATTTTGACAGTAGATTTGATATAAGGTGTTCATAACAAGTTTTGCATTTTGTTCCAGGTCCCCTCACACACATTTTAATCATTTTTATGTGATCTATGTACGCAGCACTCATCCTCTCTCTGTCACCCAAACCCTCCAATGTGTCTCTCTTAAACAGATTGCTACAATACTTGTAATGATGGTCCTTCCCAGCTGTGCTGCAGGAGAGGGGAAGGGAGCAGCAGGCTCTAGTATTACCATAATACCCACTCCCTCCCTCTGCTGTCCCAAGGGTCTGTGTGTGGCAGCACTGGGACGTGGGGTAACTCTGCTAACTGCTGTGGAGGGGACTCAACTGGCTGCCGGTCCTGCAGGCTTTGTGAATTTGTGTGAGCGTGCGCGTCTGTGTGTGTGTGTGTGTGTGTGTGTACGCGCGCTCGCGAGTTTGTGTGTGAATGTGACAGGGCTGAACCTGCCTGTGGGCGATGTAATAAAAGCGCCACGCTCTGCTGGTGGTGATGGTGGCAATGCTGCCGTAGCTGCAGAGGAGGGGATAAATATAAAGCAAGGAGGAGTCGGCCCCTCAAGTCACGGCTTGACTTACATCCTAATAATTAGGCTCCTTTCCAATAAAACAGGGATTTGTAGCCATGCATCTCTTTTACTTCTGTTTGCTATTCTGCAGAGAAGAAAAATGCAAGATCTGCTGCAGGATGTGGGTGAAGCAGGAACCTTTGAAAAGATTGAATTTAAGCAACAATGAAACATGAGCAGAGCGTGGCCAGGATGCTAGATTGTAATTATAACATCATTTCAGTAAACATCATTTCCAACTTAATATGTTTTACTTTAAGCCACTAGGTCCTTCTTGAAATAATACAAAAAATAAAACACATGAGCTATGGAGGTTACTATTACATGTTACCCTAAACCTTCCAATTTATAATTTTGTGTAATATTCTCAAGATTACATTTCTCAGCTCTATCAATCAACTGAATTCGGCCCCAGTTTGTTAAAATATCTGAAGCCTTAAAAAATAGAGACCAAGACAAATTATCTCCAAACCTTTAACACCTTCAGTGAAAACAAATCCTTCAGGTAGAAATCATAGGTTGGAAAAATGGTACAGTAAATAAACACACCCTTAAACTAGTTGCTTGTTGAACAACTTCCTGATTTTATTTCAGCATTCAGTGTTATAGGGTACACACCACAATTAGAGTCTGATTTACCTGAAATAAAGGTCAGCTACAGCAAGATTTTGCTAAAGTTTGTTCATTTGATTCCAACAGCTGTATAAGGATTTCAGTGGAGAGAAAAGAACAACAGTGACATTGGGAAAAACAGGACATTCCCCCCATAATTGTTGAAACTAGAAACTGGTCATGAAGTTGCCAAGAGGCTGACGGTAACACTGAAATAACTGGACTGCCTGGTAATCACAGGTTGTGTGACAACAGACTCCTGGATTCTCAATAGGTCAGCACTAAGCAGTAGGAATAAAAGACAGAAGCCTTTTATTTCAAATAAAATGTTTAGGGCAGCCAAAAATACACTAAAACGTTGTGGAACTAGGCAAGTCTGAAATTACCATATAATATATGATATATGCTGGTCGCAGCATCATGATCCTGGCTTATTTTCTTTCAGAGGGAACTAAATTTATTATCAATGTGGATGAAATCATTAATAACTCTTAAGACCACTCAGTTTTGACTCAAAACCTTTGCTGTAGGTGTCGGCTATGAAGCTTATGATAAAAAGTATTTTTAGTTAACATGAAATAACGGCAGAATATGCACCTGACACAACAAAAATATGTCTCAATCAGAAGAAAACTAAAGTTTGGGAATGGCCAAGTCAAAGTTCAGAACTAAATCTTGCAGAAAATAACATGGATTCACCTGGAGAGAGCTAAGCAAGGCAAAGTGGAGTTAAATTAAGTCAAAAGGTGGGTAAACAAAATACTAAGGCTTGCACACTCATTTAAACAACTTTTGAAGCATTTTATTTAGATTTTTATTATCATTGTTATTTTATTCATTTATTTGTTTATTTCCCTCAGACAGATTTGTTTCCTTTTCAGTTGAATTGTACAGAGTTATGTGACATTTAAGGTGGAAATGATTCTTCAACAAGGATGTATTCATATAGAGCAATGGTTTTAACATTACTCTCCTTAGATGTCAGCTGATGCTTGTGTCTGCAAATCTGAAAAATCCCCAAAATTCAAACTGTGCAGGATTTTCACAGTGCCAGACACACAGAGGCAGGTGGGGGCTGTGTGTATGTAGGAGAGAGAGAGAGAGACAGAGAGAGAGAGAGAAGGGCTGTGCAGGATGGTGGTCCAGGCAGGGGGTATCAGGCTAATTAAAGCAAGCATTTGTCAGAGATTAAGCCTTAAACAGAAAAGGTCATCTGAGCACAAGAGCGCACAGTTTCGCTGCTGTGCTCTAAGGGCAATCTAAACCTTTCCAAGCTAAATGGTAAAGATGCTATTTGAAGGGGGAGGGTGCCGAGATCCTGACCAGCGACAAGACTGACACTCGGGTCATTGGTTCTTTACTGTCCATTACACATGCTGGTCAAATCTGGCAATCGGTGTCATTTAGGGATGAAAAATAAGCACCGGGACAAGATCAATAGATGCAGCCATCTGTACCAGCTGTGATTAATTGACTGTCTCCAATTAATGACTGGCCTGTTGCAAAGCAATGCAATCTCAGCAGAACAATGCTTATTTGACTTATTTCAGCCAAAATTTGTTTATTTTCGCTGGCATACCATCGGAATAAATTAATTTACCAGTTCAGGCGGCATCTGTTGGTTTACTGGAGTAAACTGGAAAGTTTCCTTTTTCTTTTTTCTGATGGCATCATGTATTTTAGGTGCTTTCTGAAGTCATTTGCAGTAGTGAAATGAAGGCAGACATTCACATGGCTTATTTTAGTTTATAAGACATAGGGACTAAAAATATTTGACAACTGTCTTTCATGGTGTTTCAAAGGTCTGTATACATTAATATCGCCTCATTATAACCAAACAGCGAGCAGTGACACAGAATATTGCCAAATAAATTGCAGTAAAATTTCAATATTCTCTGTAATTTATCCAACCTTATTCATTGTGGACGTTTACTCTGAAGAGCATCGCATAAAACCACTTTGGATATGAAAAATGAGTAGGAACAACTGCTGGCTTATGATCCATTTAATAAACCATTGAAAACAGTCCAACAAGTACTGGTGATGTTTTTAATCTGGGATCAGTGTACAAGGTTATTTTGCACTCAGTCAATTGTAATCATATTAGATCCCGAGAAGATGTCCTGGTTTTAGATACGACGAAGCGCAGGACGTGTAACCCCAGGCATGAGTAATGGCCCTACAGGGTTAAACTCTGGTACTGATGTAATTTGAAATATTTTTAGTGGGATTTATGCTAATATTAGGCCACTCTTAATAGATATTCATAAATTCAATCATTTTCATCTGAGACAATGACATGCGAAGTAATATATGATAGTTTTTATGAGGTGGGACTTTAAAAGATTAAATGATACAGGTCATATCAAGTTAGATATTGGTCTGTGTTATATTGTTTCTTTTTCCCCCAAAAAATACAATGACTACAAACCAAATTACACGTTTAAAATATATATTTTTTCTATTTATATATCTGAACGACTTTTGTCTTGATAAATAGATTTACTGGCTTATGAGAAGAGAATATTTATATGATGATGGGAATCTGCTAATGTATTTATTTTCTAGGTGTTTTCTGTGTATCTTGTGACAAGCAAATCCCACTGTTTAACATGTCTCGGTGACGTATTTATGGTGAGTTCAGCACTTTTATTAACTTCATCAACTGACTTTTTCACCGTAGTGGTAGTTTCTGTGTGCATTTGCAGTCCTATTTATACTGAACTGTGAGTGCATTGCAACTTCAAGAACAAACTTTTTCCCTCCCAAGTTCAGCACCTTTTAAATCTCAACTCAAGTGGAACAATACAATTAATAACACAGAGACCACAAGAACAGATTGTCAAGTTTTTTAAATGGAAAATGCTGACATGCATGGACGAAGCGTAACGTAACATAACA